TTAAACATTTGTTTGAAACCGCGGCCGTGGAGGCTGCAGAAGCACCAGATCGTGCTCAGCGGAGGTGTGGAGGCCGGAATTTAGGTAAAAATCAGATTAAAATCAAAAGTTGAAAAAAATCTCAAAATCTTTTGATTTTTTGTTAGAAAAATATATATGATGTTAGATCTACTAGTTTTAGGTAAAATCTAGTTGAAAACGAGTTAAAATACAGTAAAAACGAGGTAAAAAATGGATGGCCGCCATTGTTAGGGTTTGAGAAAAACTTGGTATTTTGTGGAGAAAATTAAAGGTAAATTACAATTTTACCCTTTATTGAATAAATCTACCACTACTATAAATAAGTTTACCATATATTATAAATATACCACTACTATAAACAAGTCTAAGGTTGTTTTAGTAAAGAAGTGAAAAGATTGAATAAATCTACCATTACAATAAATAAGTCTACAACATATTATAACTCTACCACTAGTATAAATAAGTCTACGATTGCGTGAACCATCAATAAGTCTACCGATCACAAAATAACTCTACCACAACTACTAATAAGTCTATCACTCAAAAATAAATCTACCACTACTGTAAATAAGTCTACGATGGCGCGAATCATTAATAAGTCTACCGATCACAAAATTAACTCTACCACTACGAAAAATAAGTTACCACATATTATAAATCTACCACTACTATAGATAAGTCTACCATTGCGCGAACCATCAATAAGTCTACCAACCACTTAATAAATCTACCAATCTCAAATAAATCTACCATCACATGAACGGTATTATATATGCTTAGACTTTGAAGGAAAATAAGTTTATTTTCTTTTTGAAACTTTGATTATCGAAGATAGGTGAAAAGATTATAATATGGAAAAATATGAAATAAAAACGATTTTAAAGGCTACGGCAAAGCACGATGCATACAAAATTTACGTTAAAGATACGAAAAAAGAGAAATCTTATTGCTCCGGAACCACGAACCGCTAACAATTCCTTGAAGATGGATAGAAGTTTCATTCTCTCAACCGCCGATTGCGACAAAGAATAAGGAACACCTCAAAGATACTCTCCAATAAATCCAAAACCTTATGTATCATTTGACCTATTTTATACTGTTTGGTCTACGCTATGTATAAATTAATTATGACTAGGAAATCAAACTTACCATGCTGATAATATTCTCTATTTTCTTGATCTCTTCGTCAAATTATTGAAACATCAAAGTCATAATTCATGCTTCTGAGTTCTGCTGTGTTTCTTATAAAATGTTGACAAACCAAAATAAAAGCAGACCAATGTAGAACAAACATGATGCTTTAAACATCAATGCATTGGTAATTGTTCAATAATCAATATGTACCTCTCGAAAATCTCTCTCTTGGACTCTTACGGTGAATCTCGAGGAGCCACAATTAATTGACATTATAACATCCATAATCACTCGTTGCACCCGGATATATCCCTAGTAAATTGTAGTTTGTGAACAAATCGCTCTAACTTATAAAACCAAACCAATACAGTATTTCTTAGAAGTTTGGGATATAACGGGGATTAGAAAAAGAAAGCGAAAATACTAAACTCTTAACTTTTGTCTGAAACGAAAAGGCAACCAATTAAACTCTTAACTTTAGTTTAAACATCTTATATCAATATTATCATTTCTCAATAATCAATACCTTACCTATAAAACAAGTAATGTTTCACACACATCTTCTTTATCACATTAGGATACATTAAAAGCCCTTACGTTTTATGGTCATCTTGGATTTAGATTCGATATTCTAGTCCTAAATGATAATCACCTCCAAACAAAAGGAAAAGAATCGCATTTGATACACAATTACCAGAGAGTTGGATTATAAAATCAGGAATAGTTGTTGATTTAAATACTTTGGCCATGTTTGTATCATTGTATGCAGACGATAACATAATCTAAATGTGAATATACACTCCATACTAGTGTTATGGGGGGTGTATTCAACTAGGGATTTTGAAGAATCCGATGAATTTTAGATTTGAAGAGATTTTAGGAGATTTGAAAGACTTTCAAAGGATTTGCTAAATTTATTATAATTAAAAATAGAAAAATAAGAGAAATTTGGTGAGACTTTATAGTGAGATTTTAGAAGATATTGGAGTTTTTGTGTAATATCAAAAAAGCTTTTCAAAACTCAAAAACATCATTATAAATAAAAGGTTTTGATTAAATCAAACCATACAAATGCTTAAAAAACAAAAATTTCAAAAAACACGACAAAAAAACTAAACCAGAGAATAACATCAAGCTCCCATAAAATATTTGACTCCAATTATTGGCATTCAGTCTTTGTTGTTCTTGAGTACCCAGAAAAACTTCATCATCATAAAATTATACAAAAAGCCCGGCCCAAAAATTATACAATATGCATATTCCAAATTGCTATTGATGGAATCGAATATATTTCTTTTGAATAAAACTGAAAAGGAGACAAGAGAATTTCGAAGTGAGGGAGACGAGAAGAAGAAGATTTTTGCAAGTTTTAGTTGGAATTTTTAATTCTAAAGTTTCGGTTAATTCTCTCCAAATAATATTTATTGAGGTGTGATCTTTTGTGGTTTTATTTTCAACTAAAATCATAAGCAAAGTCTCTTAAAATTCCATAAACTATTTTTCTATAAAAAAATGTTATTG